TTGTCCTTCGGAATTTTTTGTTGATGCAGATATGATCTATCTGGTTCTCTGTAGTGGTATCCGGTGAGATCCATGTAGCCTTGTGTATACGCTTGTGTGGAAATATTGTGCCGGCTATGACCAATGTGTTGAATGCACATAGATTTGCAAGTCTTTCTCCATTTTCGTTTCTCTGTCCCAGTCCATGTCGTCCCATAATATCTTCATATCCTGTGTTGTCTATTTCGAATTTGGCATTTAGATCTCCCATCAGAATAGTTAGGTCCTTTCAAAGATAATGAATAAATATATGACCGTTGACTTGTATAGTCCTTATGTCCATAGAATTCAAACAATCTTGTTAAAATGGCGATTACGCTAAACGACTTCACGTTGGTATGAGCATGCCTCATTGCTGGATGTTCAAATATGACCTGTATAGTACCAATCATCAGTAAGGCGTGTTTTTACCATTGAAAGAACTGATAATACTTCAGGAACTTCCACTCTGTGACCCAATAGTATGATTTAATTTTCCTAACGAAGATAATGAAATTCTTGATTTCAATGTTAAATGATACCTGAAGGAGCAACGATTATGTTTATGTCTAAGATAGGTATCACTGGTCAGCTCATACAAACTCAAAACACCTATCAGGAAAATCCTGATAAATACTAATGACCAAATAAACGATAAATCATGCATGAACTGACACACACTAATCCATAAACACCTGTGATACCACAGATTGAAAGAGAAAGGTGAATTAGCTCTCCATTTTTTTCAACGATAAGAATTCCTGATGCAATTTTAGATGAAAAAAATTGGAGTATTTAGGACACCAGTTTACGTTTGAAAGCAAAAAAGAAAAATTATTTTAATTTAAATAATCTGTCACACAAACTGTAAAAATACAAAAGTGATCCCTAATAATTGTTGAGGTTACTCTACTTTACCAAACTGAGGCGTAAAGTTAGGGTATTCAATCTCGAATAGTTTGAAACAGATAATCAGATAAAACAAAGGCATAAATGTTTAAAACTAGACTTGAATAAGCTTTTTTAAACTGAAACTCTTGTTGCGAATGTCAACAAACTGTTGTTAACGCAACAGTAATATGATGCACGCATTTCAAATATATATATATATATATATATATATATATATATATATATATATATATATCACTAAAATAACGAAAACGCAGCTGTTCCAATAAATTCCATCACTGTTTTCAAAACTAAAAGTGTACAACCTTTTGGAAAAACTATGAGATCAGTTATGCTTGGACCGATGAAATTAGATATATTTTCACTTGGTTGCCATATAAGATAAATCCATAACTTCAGTTACGCTGGTGTTGGGGATGATTGATAAAATGTTGTTGACTACTACTACTTGAGCCAAAAGAATCGAAACACAAGAATCAAAAATCATTCATATTATTTTTAGAATAATTAAATGACGCCTCCTCAAAGCGATCCTTTATATTGAATCAACTTATCCAGTTTCTAATGACAATGTACTAGATATGGGTTCTGATAATAATGCACATAATTTTGATGAAATTTCTTACAAAAATGAGGAAAATATATCAGCTGAGTCAAATGATGGTCAAAGATCTAATGTAATTTTGTTTGATGTTGATTTTCCTAATGACCCATTATCCGCTGATGAGATTCTTAATGAATTTGAAAATAATGCTTCAGAAGAACCAAACTCTGACCTCAAATCAAAAATCGTTCATTACCATCTAGTCATTTCTAGTGGATTCTACACTCAATGCGGGAAACATGTTTTAAGTAAGGTCGAATTAATTGTAACTTGGGGATATGAGGACCCAACACTATTTCGTGGGGTGGGATGGACGCGGAAAAATTCTAAAATCCGGACACCAACTCCGGATCTTCAAAAAAAAGGAGGTATTAGGATATTCGGATAAATATATCAATAATTATCATGTTAAGTCTAATGGTGTCCTTGGACGTTAAATGGACATTCCCTATTGGTCAGTATTTATTTCACTTGTTAAATATTGTACAAATGTTGTTTTCTATTTTATGGTGCGAAGTGGTTTGTTTGATTGGTATATAAACAGAGCATGTCTGAAATATAATGATTCATATCTCAGAGGCTGAGACTTGTGTTCTGGACTCAACTGGCTGGGCTAGACAGCGAAGCAGGGCCAATCAGGTCTCTAGGTCGTTCGTACGTGTTTTTCGTGCCATTGATCCGATCGATAATACGCTTCACTCTTATCTGCAGTCACACGTCACAACATCTATTCAAGACAGCGGGGTATATTAAACTGATGCTATAGACCAGCTACCCTAACCATGGGCTAAAAGTCACCTCAATCTAGTTATTACAAGTTCAAAAGTTACGTAACCAATGTTCGGATATTCACGTTAACCAGAACTTGTCTACTCATGTGTAATAACCGAATCCTGTGAAACGAAAGTGAATGATTGTATGGCTTGAAACGTTTTGAGGAAACCAAAGCTTCATAGCCATAGCTGCCGTAAGATTTTTTGCATAGGTTTAAAAAAGTCTGATATTGTAAACTCTTTAAAGATATGTGAGTTTCTTTTACATAATTCACTGGTATATCCCCAAATTTAATGGACCTTTCTTCAAGCAAGCTTGTACAAATTAGATTCTGGCAACAGAAGGGGTACTGCATATTACATGTAAATGGATATATGATATTAAATGGTTAGAAGTAGTTTGGGGGAAACCCTTGACCTTAACCAGTTTAATATGAACAAAGGTTAACAATCTGCCAGTGCATTCGGTTAAATTAAGAGGGGTAATATTTAGAGGACAACATTTTGTCATCAACACTCTTCGATACTTTATGATATTTAGATAAACACTGACTTATGATAAGACAAATAGTTACAGTCTAACCAAATGTAAAAACTTAGTGAATATTCATCCTTAATTTTGTGACAAAAGTTTCTAATAAATGTTGTTTTTTACATACGTATTATCCCTCACACCTAACTCTGCTTATGATTCTTTTGTTTATGGAATCTGCAATTAGGTCAATAATGCTGTAAAGTGATAGATCGTACTGGAAATTATAAGCGGCTAAAGAAATAATATCATCGTTTTTAGACCACGCTAACCTTATTTTAACATAGAAAGACTAAGTTATGCTGATCCTAAAGAATGCTTTTCAAAAATACAGTCATTTTGTTGATGTTAACTGCAACAATTTAAAAATGACTTCTGTTATTCATGATAATTGTCCATAAATTAGTAAACTTTGAAAGAATCCTTTTGACCTAACGTAAAACGTAATATTTTTTGACATTCCATCAAGTAATCACTTATTTCTTTGGAAATTATTTCCTCTCAAAATGCCCGTTACATCGAATATCATTAAACTGAAAATTTTGGTTCGATCAAAGTGGCCAAGGGATAGGTAGCGGTATCATTGTCGAAATAAAGACTTCAACTTTTGTTTTCCTCAATAACTTAAGTCTTCTTAATTAAGGTTAATATTTTACCGATGTTTACGAGTTAATAGAACTAATGTTTTGTTTATGAATCAGCTTATGTGAAACCAAGCTAACTGTGGCTAAACAATCGCGAAATAATTTTGATGTCCTGCAGGGGCTTTGCATTCCACATCTATCGGTTCAACTACATAAAATTAGTATTCTAAGGATGAAGATCACATAGCTTCGTGAAACCATAGCAACATTTGTATAATGTGATCCAAATGATAATAAGAATGCTAAAGGGGTTAATAAATATATTTATATGACCAAATATGAAACTGAGAATCGTGGGAGCTCCAAAGTCAAAGATTGTAGATGCTAGAATAAAAGACGTACCAAGAAGCACTGAAAAAACTTATAAGTTACCAATCCGTCCGTCGCACTGTATTTCAAAGCAATCACAAGTGTACGCGAAATATACACCCTGGACAAACCCAAAAAAATGTAATCTGAACCAGAAACGTCCAATTCCATGCGTTTGCTTAATGAATGGTTCATGCAATATCAAGATAAGAGACAAGTTTATATATAAAAGGAAAATTATTAAAAAACGACAAAACCTTTGGTATTTTAATTTTTATCTAATACTGTTCACCCTTAATCATTCCAGTATACAATATAAATGGACTGCTTCATGCACAACAGTGTCGAGAGATATTGAAATTTAAACAAAATGTGCAGCTATATGAGCGAAATTTATTCACCAGGTTTGAAAAAATGTTGTTTTGGACAATTCGAATGAGAATGAAAGTTGAACTCACATGATTCTTCAATTATCCAAAGTTCGTTCTAAGAAACCTAATCTCTTATGAAAGCTTAAAACTATGCACTCGCTCAAAGGGATGAAGATTGGGTTTTGTCAGCGGTTTTATCACAATAACAAGATTTTTCAGGATAATGGTAGCCAAAACCACGAATGGCTGAAATATTAAAATTATGTCACAAAAGTTGTTTAGGTTGCTCTGACTTATCATTTTTCACCAAACATTTTAGTAATTACTTCAGAATGTTCAACCAAATTTATGCTTACAAGCCGATGAGCCTTGAAATCACGATTTATAAGACCTGTGCATTTAGGCTTAAGACTTGGTGTGCAAAAAAATATAATAAAATATTTTCAACCCATATTTGTTTTTTCTAAAGAAACATGATTAAAATTATGTACTATAAAATGAAATTGTGTAATTGCAGGCAAAACCAAAAACAGACTTTCAGATATGAAATATTTTTGATTCCTCAGATAAACATCATTCAAATCACTCTGTATGATTAGCAAGCATTACCTACCGTCAGTGTATTTTCGTATAGCTGGGAAAATTAAAGCAACAAAAGCGGTGAAGATACAGTTGAGAATCATATTGAAATACTTATCCAAGTAAAATGAGAATCTGTTGTAAAACTGATAGGTTACAACGCAACAATAGGCAATAATATTCTGATTTTGTCATACAGTCGTCAAGCAACATGCCAATCAACAATCATAAGTAAATAAAAAGGTACATTGCACTCACCAATATCACAACCGGCGTGAGAAACTGTCTTTTCTTTTCTATCAGGTATAAACATCTGCTTACTGTTGTCTTCAAAAATCTGTACCCAATCAACCGTGAAACCAAAGTTGCACAAAAACTGATTATTTAGCGCCACAATATCGTTGCGTTGAATGGCTGAAACGGATAGAAAACAACAAATGTCATTTAAGCAATAAAATTATTGCCTTGAGACCTATGCTGTCGAATATGTTTCAGAAGAGATCTAACTAAACGAAATGTTTTTGTAAATAGTGAGCCATAATTATTCATCTCTTGTCTACAGATATTCTGTTCCTCAATTAAAACTGTGTGACTACCAGGGTTTGTAGCTTATTTTGATGAAAACGTTCGAAAACAATATGCTTTGGCTTTTCCTTCCCTCAAATAAGGTTCGATGATACTGCTTTTATATCTGCCATAGGAATAAAGTCCTATCATAAAAAGCTATCAATACAGAACTTGGCAGTTTCAGTATCTACAAACGACAAGGAACAGTAGAGAACTTGTCTCGTTTATTACTGTACGCTTCTCTTTTGGCCAGTGGTTACGAACCAAATTTAGGTGAGACTATAATTTATGGACGAACCAATCAGGTAAATATATAAGATAACAAGTCTCAAAATTTGGTGCGAAATCTACCTAGCCATTTGGCTAAATAGAGTTTTGACATTAAAGCTGGTGTCGATTCGGAACGAAAACCCTAAATCTAATTCCCAAGCCTAACCGTCAACTGTAAATTATAATTATAACTCCTCACGCTGGTTTATAATCCTCATTTGATCCTAGTTATAAATGTCACAATAAGATCTAAGAAAATGTGGAGTGTTAAAAAAGAGTGACCAAGCAAGAGGACGACCATTATTTTTAGGATAATAGCAGTAAATGTAGCCCAACAGGCCACAAATTAATACAATCCAGTGTCAGTCAGGAAGTAAGTACTTTTAACCAACGGCAATCAGTATGACGTTTTAAGTTTTAGTTTCCATCCCAGAGTTTTTAAACATGAGAATTAATTTCTGCAACTTAGGTATTTTAGAGAGTGTGTCATACTGACCATTAACTACAAATTAGGCATGAAAAATTGCAAACGGTGATTAAAATAAGCTTCAATACAAAACATAACATAAACTTCATTTCTGTAATACTAATACATATTTAATAGTAAAGGCAAGTACTTTAAATAGAGCTAAGTGTACAAATATACGAAGGAAAGAAAAATAAGCAGAGAAGGTACTTCAGATTCAACATATTTTCAAATAAGCATACAAGTAAAAGTCTTAACTTCACTCATTTTTTTTACTTTGCAAGTCTTTAACTCTTAACACCTGCCTTTTTTTTCAATGTACGTGTGAAAAATTCAGAGGCTCCTAGCAATTGTGAATTTATCAGAACAAATTGCTTTATCTTAAGTAAATTCTTCACTTTATTTGACTTGTATCCTCGTCTTGGATTCCGAACACAAATTAGTGGAAAACTCAAGTTAGATTCACGTAGACACAAGGAGTAGAAATATCATCAGCATGGTAAAGACGTATGCATAAAATAACAAACACACTTTAAACAAAATTCTTACCCGTCAAACTCCGCAAATCTAGGATTTCAAGACTGTTTCGATTAATGACAAGTGCAGCACTAGTATTCATGATACGATATCCTGGTTCGCCACGAATAACTTTCAAAGAAGGTAATGATATCGTTTTAACGCTGTTTTGACCAATGTACACATAACCAGACACATCTTCAATCTTTTCAAGAAAAGAAAGATCAGGATCGGATCCATTTTCTACTTAATCAAACACTAGTCAATATGGTACCATACCAAGTTTCTCTAGACCACATATAACCAAATTCCCGATTATGTGGGTACAACCCCCGTACAGAAACTTGATGTATGTTAGCTGTATATGTTTTGGATTAGGCTTTCCGCAGTCTCTCTCCCAAACACGACAGGCTAAAGATATCAAATTAAAAACTTCACAGACCTTTAATCCATGGGTACTCAGAAATGGAAAATTTTAAGGACCAGGAATTAAGAGCTAAAAACTTGTATCACTGAGGAAAGGTAAAATACCGAAAATAAAAACCAAAGTCGGTGATAAAAAATTCATTTAAGAATTATCCTGTCGAACATCCCATTAACTTTTGAAAACGTGCCAAACACTATTAACCTACAGGGTTGGCAAAATTAATGCACTCAAACCCAACAAGTAACCACAATATATCTTTATTATCTTTGTCACAGGCTCGTATACGCCGATTAGTTTTTTTTGAGATCGCTACATTTTGTTTTCATACAGTTTCAGGTAATTCACAATGTTCAACTGTTATAACCAAGCCATTCAGCTGCACCAATTCTAGTCAGTTTGATAATTATTCGTGAATTCCCTTACATTATAGTTTGAGTGAGTGATTATGTCTCAGAAATGAAAGGATCCTGGGTACTAAGAGCTGTCACACTACTAAGCAGGTGGGTGGGTTGATTTTAATGTGAAAATAACAAAGTGATACTTCGAGTGCTAAGGTGATTGTTTCAGGAATGAACGAATACGTTGGTTAACTGGTAATGCAGACATTGTGAGAAGATGGACTTGAAATAACAAGAGGGAAAGCGAAAATGATAATGATTCTAGTGATCCCATGTGTTGGAGTCTATCCTCGTAAGATTTTTGTTTTTGACTTAGCAACCACTTCGTTACCCGTCTCTGTATTTGTCCTAATAGATTTATATCTCTTCAGAATAGAGGAGACGTAAGGACACTATGCGCTTCAAATTAAGGCTGTGCGTATGTCTCAAACAGTTTTAGGAACAACTGTGAGATGATTGCGTCAACTTGTCTTAGCATAAAGTTGAGAGTTCAGTCCAACTTTGGATGCATCCCTCACATAAGTGAGCCGGTTTCCTAGATCTTAGTGGTTCAACGGGCGAGATGAAAATCAGGAGGGTCAACCGAGAGGGAATTTCCGTAGGGAGCGTAAAGGTTTTATATCAAATGAGGCAGTATATTCATAACATGACATTTCTACGGGTTAAGCTTTAATCATTTGAAAGCTGCCCATTCCTCTATTTCTGTAATGTCTTTTTGAAAGTAAAATGAGTCCCATATCGCTGTTTACAAACTTCCAGATATCTGCGTCGTCTGTAAAAATCAACTCAGTCGAGTCAATTACATCTAACGGGTCGTTATTAAAGATCATGAATAGAAGTGGATGTGAGATTGATTCTTGTAAAACTCTTGATATTGAAACTATCCAATCCCTTGCACTCCACTTACTTTGATACGAAACACACTGTTCTCTATGTAGTTTCAGATTCACGTAGGCAGTAAAACAGAGATTTCCTTGCAACCTTCTCTATTAAAAGTATATATTGTATTGTAGCAAAAGCATTCACGAAATTATCGTCAGGCTGAACAAGTGAGTTGATTATTCCTTGAGATCTGGATATAGGTAGTTCGAGTGCGTCTTCAGTTACGGAGAAAAATTATTCTTACTATGTTTCCCCTTGAAAATGGAACACAACGTAATTTTGTTATTCATGGATGTGATGAAGGAGTATTACTTAAAGTACCTAAGAGGTCTCCCCTTCAAAGATTTTGCAGTTGATGCAATCTCTATAGCTTATTCAAACAGCAAAACGTTTGGTGGGATTTTTATGCAACTTTTTTCGTGTCTTACCTCCATGGGATTTTTTTAATGTACGAATAACTTCTGTAGCGTATCAATGATCTATTAAAGTGGAGAGGATTGTGAGCTGCATGATGCATCATGGTAGTATTCTTCTTGTCTTTTCATACTGCACTAGGTGTAAACTAAGGGCTTCTCAGAAATCTGAGGACGATATATTTTTCAGTCGGGTTGCCTTCTCATTTACTTATTTCCAACTCACTCCAAGTAAGCCGTATTTTTCTCAAGGCATGAGGACACAACTCAAGAGCCTTTTCCAAGGTCAAATATCAGGCAAAAATAGTAAACAATTTCAAATAATTGCAAAGTCAAGCTACCGAGTGTTCTAGATAGAGCCTCATGAGTGAGCACCGATTATTCACTGCAGAACGCGAGTGAAAAGGGATACTAGAGGAAGTTCTTTTGAATGGTGGAAAGTGTAATATCGGGATTCTTCAGAAATTATCCAATGAATAGAGTATGATTGGTGACCATTAGTATCCTGCATTTATTAGGAGGTTTCTAATGCTCTAGTAATAATAATAATAAATGTTCCTAGATAAGAATATGTAAAATGAGGCGTGTCATTTTACAGACAAGATCAAACTGTGACATATGCTACAGGTTTTACGTTAAAAAGTTACTTAAATACGTTGGTATGCTGCAAGACTAGTTTGTTGCGTAAACAGAGGATAATTTTTTCATACATCGGAATATTAATGGTAGTAAGACTTTAATGTCCAATGTGAGATTTGATGGGGGTTACGTTGCGACAAGCTATTGGTGGTCGAGAATGAATGGGATTTAAGTCCAGAGCAGTCGTTTGAAGATGACAACTTTAACGTATCATTTTGCGCTTTTTGGTAGCCACAGCAGGTGAATTTCGGGAGTATTATTGGTGGTGTAGGACGAAATCATAAGTTCCACATATATATTCGGTTCGTAATGAAAACACTGAACCTGATTCCTAACCCTAACCATCAACTGCAAATCATAATCCTTATTTCTCACGGTGGCTTATAGTCGTCATTTAGTCCCGGCTAGTAGGGTCACTTTAGAGTCGCTCCAAGTTTGTCCACAAATTATAATCCCATCATGTTTTCATTTGTGATGGAACAATAAAGGTATGGTCACTAAGACTCATTCTCTTTCATTAGATCAACTTCTAAGCAAGTATGTTTCATCAGGTTCAAGAAAACAAGCCACAGTATGTCGTTGAATTGAAATGGTTTAAGAGAACTGAAAGTTAGTGATTGTGTATTTTAAAAATCATTAAGAAAACAGTTTTTGAACACTGTCTGGCATTTTTTGGTCAAATTTATTACAACTCGCCTTTATTTTATAACTTTTAAAAGTCATGAGTGAACTCCTGTTTGGCGTAATTGTCCAGTTTTGACTGCAGCAGAATTTTTCAGTAGGGAAGGAAACTAATTCTAGGTTACATACACGGGTCAAGGAGGTACTTAGCACAAGATTAGCATCAATGGTTCAAATGTTTGTGGACGGAATAGAAGAAGCTTTCGCTTGACAGGCTTCTGTGTCTAGTAGCAGTGGATCACCAATAAAAGGAACTCACTACTATTTAGGTAGTCTAAGCTTCCTATGATCGAACATAGTTGAGCGGCACTCGTAGGGTTAGCGAGTTTTCTGACTATGAACTGGTGGGCGAAAAGTTATTTTTTAATGCTCATGCAGTTTATGTTTGCAGATGATTCTTTACAATCAGTCAACGATCCTCGGTCTAGAGATGTGGTGTCGATGGAGGAGATAAGGGTGATTCATTGTCGTAAGCCAAGGTACTTCTAAGGCTCAGTGTGTACAACACCATCAGTTGTTATGGGGATTAAAAGAAAAACTCACTAAACATGTTGTTGATTAGTTGCTGTTTGTGACATAATAAAAGTAATAATATATGTTTGTTACATGACGCATTCCAGTTTACAGGCAAGATCAAATTACCAAAAAAGATACAATTTTCACTGTAGTAAATTACTCAGCTGGGTTGATATTTTATGAGATATGATTGCAGATGGTTTTAGTAAGAATCGTATTGTCAATATCACAGTTGGCACGCCTTTTGAAGGCTGCGTTGCGACGTGTAACCAACGGTCGAGAATAGATCCATGTGAAGTTAGGGGCTACTAGAAACCGCAACCTTATATCCCTCTGAATATTTGAGGCTTTAATGAAGGTGCAGAACGAAGTCACCCGTTCCACATCTGTTTTCAATGTCATATTTCAAGGGGGCCGAAAAAGAGTGCAAGAAAAAGAAAGGATGAGAAACAGAGCAGACAATGTCCATGAAGGAATATTTAATGTATGACTACTCAGTCTAATTCTCTTTTATTAAGGTATTTATTAGGCAAGATCATTTTAATATGTTGAAGAAAAAAAGTGTAAGCAAGATATGAGTGGATAAACAACCGAAAAATGGAGGTGGTTCAGAAAGAAGCTGGAAGTATGGGATTATGTGTTGTTATCAAATACAGTGCTGAAAACAGTGACTAAGTGCCAGTCGGTTATTTAATCACGTGTTTATATGTTGGATGATCGATTGTTAAGTGTAGCTTGGCCTAGATAAGCTCCATAGGCCTGTGGAAAACTTTTGATTGGTCCATAAAGTAGCTTGGAGAAGATTTTAATCGAGTTAGCGTTTGACCTGACCAGATGTTTACTGGCAACCCATTCCATAAGCCTGCATAACGTGTGACAAAGATAGTCGAATTTACTTAGCTTTTTGGTCACGAGATCGTTAGTACGAAATCCCGATTCCGACGGTTTTGGCAAACTTTAACACATCACAAATTACTACAATTTTATTATATAGAATTTTGTAAAGCATTATAAGGTCGCGTTAATTCGTCTTAACGATAAGGGTTCCAGTTTCCATACTTCGCATCTATCTTTATATGATAGATCAGGTGCGAGATGTCTTTTAAAATGGCATTGCACTTTTATAATTTTCCGCCGGTCTATTGAACGCATGCAACTAAATATAATTGGGCAGTAATCCAGTACGGGTCGAACATATACCCCATAGAAAGTTATTTTGGATTCTTTTACATGGAAATAATTATTAATAAGTCCAATAAGTCTACGAGCTCTGGAGACACGAGATGTAGCCTGTACGGTGAGTGAAGGACCTTTAGAATATTTCACTTCTAAGTCATAGTTGCCACTTAGTTGTCTGTATCCAAAATTGTCCAGCTGCAAGCTTACCTGAGGATTAAACGTCCCGAAATACATGGTTACTTCTTGTTATTGGGGCTCAGTGCGGCCTAAGATGTTACGGATTTAAGAACAAAGACGATTGGGCTTTACTAAAAGTATCAGTTGTCTTCGAAACTGACAACAGTCATTTAAACTAAACACATCAAACCTTGATGTCTAAGGCAGAAATAAGAAGGAATTACAGGAAACTTGATAACCATGATAAGCTCTTTCA